CTAGTTCACAAATATCATAATGAATCAGATCTAAGGGTTCTGATTCTCTACTCACATATTTATGGGGCGTTTTCGTTATCTTAGCTTCGCTACAGAAATCACATTTATCAAATTCATTTATTGAGAGTTTAGGGATATGTCCTAGCTTGCTTAAATTCTTTACAATTCGTGTGTTCATATGACAAAGACGAGCATGCCAAACATTCAAATCACACACCATGTAAACTGAAGAATTCATCTTCTTGATTTCGACATTCAACTTGAACATCCCATTACATTCATATCCTTTTCCCACAAAACTCTCATTCTTAGTAAGGGTATACAAGTAAACCCTAATAGCTTGATTAAACCCAGCCTTATTGAGAAGATATCCCGAAACAAGATTATTCCTTATCTCTGGAGTGTGCAACACATCCTTGAGCACCATCTTCTTTCCAGAGGTAAAGTTTAGCTCCACTTCCTCAGAACCAGCAACCATAGTGTTGTTGGCAGTCCCCAACAACACTTTATTGTCAGCAGTGATTCTGTGTATGTCTTGAACATAGCACGATTGTTGCATACATGCTTCGATGCACCTGTATCCAACCATCATCCTTCTGAGTCACCAGTGAGGTTGACTTCAGCAATCATATCCGTGTTCATGGCTACAAAGTCTTCTTCTGTCAAATTAACCCTTGTTGCAACAGCAGGGTTAGTCTTGTTCCTGCACTTTCGTGCCATATGACCTGGTTTCCCACAGTTAGAAGAGAAACGGAATACATTCTAAGAGAACTGGGACATAACCCTTTGGTTGCCCCAAGGGACACGATTCTGTTTGCGATGGATCTTCTGGTGATGACTTTTGAAACCTTTATGGGTAGGTTTCATAGCTCTAGGGGTGGGCCGTTTAGCATTGACGACCATCACCTCTTCTTTCATATCCTGCTTGCGGGACTCTTCCTCAATCCTTAGGCGAGTAATCAAGCTTTCCAGTGAAAATTCTTTAGTTTTATGACTAAGCATATTCTTAAAATCTTTCCAGGAAGAGGGCAACTTATCATTGATGCAAGTAACTTGAAACTGATCGTCCAGTGGGATACATTCAGAAACGATCTCATGAGTTATTTTTATGAAGTTCAAGTGATTGAACTTCGACAAACTTGTCCTCGAACATTTGATACGCAGGTAGAGGCTGACAACATACTTCTTGGCTCATGCCTCCTCCGTGTCGTACTTCTTTTGGAGCGCATCCCAGACCATCATTGCGGTTTTGCTCTTGTCTGTATAGTAGTCATAGAGATCGTCTGCCAGGCCATTGAGGATGTAGCTCTTGCATAGAAAGTCATGCTCCCTTTCCCTAGCGGAAGTAGCCCTCTCCTCATCGGTCGCTTCTTCAGGCAGCTCGACGGGCATGTTGGTGAGGCAGTGTGCTAACTTCTTGGTCGTCACGGAGAACTCCATCTTTTGTCTCTAACGATGGAAGTTGACTCCAACGAAGCGGAAGGGTCGATTGATATCGACATCACTAGATCCGGCCATGTTGTTCTGTTCAGTCGCCATAGTAGAAGCCGGACGTCTTAAAATTGTTAAAAACGGAACAACAACAAGGAACAAAGTTACCTAATTCAGAGTTGAGTCAAGGACTAGGTCACTTTCTTTAAGACGTTCTCGACACTGCATTTGTTGCGCACAACAGACTATCAACGTTCGCTTCCATTATAAAACAACTCCTCTTGTGCTCAACGGTTTTGTGCGAAAACTGGAGCTCTATGAACACACACACTCTCTCTCTCTCTCTCTCTCTCTCTCTCTCTCGTGTTTTTGCTCGTTTTTTTGTGTGTTTAGAGGAGCTTGTGGGACGGCTATTCAAGGACGGACCCATGTGTTAGGGAGGCGTGTCAAGCGACACACCTCTGCCCGAATATTTTGTGAGAGACCCATGTTTTGTCGGCACAATTTTTTGGAATTTAGAACTTCCGACACACCTTCAATAATTATAATAGACACAACTTCAATACACTACGATGAAATTGATGTCATAAAGTTTCCAAACTACGTAAATATATATTATTTATTTTAAATTTTAGTTAACTTATGACAAATTTAGGGTTCTTTCCATTATTTAAGCATTTAGACGCAATGGTTTATTGCTCTTAGGTCTTAGGCATGGGTAATCGTAAGGAAGTTTTCTCCTTTCTCTCTGTACATGAATAAGTTTCGTTTCTTCTTGATCCTTGTAGCTTTCACATAGTTGTCTACCTAGTGACAAAAAATGCTCTTTCATCGGGAGTTCGGTTGCATATGGACTACCGCTCTTTATTATTGTCTATCTTATAAAAAAACCCTAGCGTTCATTTTACCTCTTTCGATCCCACTTCTCGTTGTGTTTCACAATAAAATATAATTAAAATTTATTATTATTTTATTTTATCGACCGACACACCTGTACGAGAATCCTGGATCCGCCACTGCGGCTATTTATAGTAGCCAGACCCCCACGAAAAGACCCTCTTACTTGGGGAATAAGCCGCGGTAATTAAATCATAATAAATTAATTAATAAATAATTTCGGAATTTCTCTAAAAAACATTAGTCTCAATCAAGACCCACCCACCCACTCGCTCAACCGGTCAAATGGACAGCGCGCGTGTTTGTGGTGTTCCGTTAGGTCCTCCCTCTCCCACAAAAGAGGCTCTTATTCTTATACACATATCGTAAGTATAAAACTACAAATGTGATAGTTTTTCATTTGAGACTTATAACTTCAAAAGCTATTCACATTTCCAACAGGAACTACGATCAAGAGTGGAGACACTCTCGTTGTCAAATGAAACATATATGTTGGGCTAATAGGCCCACTTTTCACACCTTTTAAATCTGGCTGATGCGGACGATGGACCCAGGCTTCCTTGGCAAGGGCCCATGGGTAATTTGATAAAAGAACGGGCCACGGAAACAGACAGGTGGAGCATATAATTTATTTTTCTATTGTATTGAGGTAGAGAACTAGAGATCCTCATGAATTTCAGGGAAAAAGTAAAGAAGAGCGAGCAGAGCGTGGGAATAAGCGAAAAAGCAACCACCGTAATTCCATTCCCTTCCCTCCTTGTAAGTTGTAAGAAGAGTCATTAATCCATTTTTCGTACGAAAAGGTGTTTAAGATGGGCATCGAAATCGAAACAAATTACTTAATTAATTAAAACGAAAGCTAATTATCCCTATGTTATGTTAATGCTCGCCTGGCCCACTACCAACACCAAGCACCACAGCGTCTCCCATTTGCTCATTACACAAATTATAAATTAAGTATTATATAATTATTATTACTACTGATTACTTTTTGGGCAGCGGATCCGATGCTAATATTTTAATTACTTTGAAAATCTTGAGATATAGGACTCCTCACCCACCCATAACAAAAAGACCTTTTCTTCTTTTCTTTCTTTGGACAGAGAAGTGAGAAGAGAAGAATCACGCACGCCACCACACCCTCTCCCACGTGCAACCCTCTTCCTCAGTTCCTCCCTATCTTTCCGCATTGCATTTTCATGACTCATGATTTCTTCCCTTCTCTCCACTCTCTCACTGACTGACTGTCCGGCAGCAGCGAATGAGCAAATATCCCAACTTCCTTCCTTTACGCATCTTGGCCGTTAGAAGGCACAGAAGAATTATCATCGAATACCACATATTATTATTGTGAGTGCCGCCTCATTCTAGGGAAATTCGAATTCAATCATAAAGATATTGATAGCTCCATCGGCAATAAAATTGTTTTTAGTAATATATATACACCAATAATATTCATGATGGGCTATCCAAATCTTTAATCTAAATTTGTAGCATTTTGTATGCATGTTCTTACTTAGGGCATTAAGACAAATGGAAAGCTTAATGATCAGAAAAAGGATAAAATCGATGGACAAAGAATGAAATTAGAACTCAATCATTGCAAAAAAATATTCCGAAGCGTGCGTTTTGCCTGTTATAACGTACATTTCCGTCGATCGCAGACACGTTTCGATTGATTCTATACCCGTCTCCGAGCTCTGCAAGAGATAAGATTAGATATAGTTATTAGGACAAGTTGTGGATATGTATTGGGGAATGGGGAGCAGAAAATGCGTTGTAGTTGGGCAGGGTGACACAACTACCTCCAAAATTGGCCAATTACGGATTAATTAAATGCCCAATTTCCATCCCGCCAAAGCTAATTAATAATAAGAAAGAAGGGCGGCAACGTAAATATAGAGTACGGCCGTGCCGGCTATATACATAGATCCATATATATGACCGGCGTTGCCGTTTATACCATTTTTGGGATGGCCGGACTTGCAATTTCCAATGCGCAAAAAAATAGAAGAGGAGAAAAGGAAGAGACAATTCCATAGACGACACAGCCATGTGTGTGCGGGTGCTGCTGGCCGGTTCTATTTCTTGTATATTTGCAGTACCAAGTACGATACATTATTACAATTTACAACCCCCGTAGTGTCAGCTTCTCAAGGAACAGATTTACGAAAATTTAATAATAAACAACTTTTTTTGTTTGTACAAAAGCTGCATCAGGGGTTCATAGAGGATGTCTTTCCTCCTTCCTTTTTCTATTTCTTTTCGTTTTATAATATTTTTAGCTGTACAATGTGCATTGTAGCGTAGATACTTAATTTAGTCGATCAAAAGTGCAGATAATTTCATCAAACATTAAGCTCGTTACTCATACACCCTGCACTCAACCCCCTTACTCGAACATGTATTAGAATGCTATTTACCAAGATGACTTGAAGATAAAGGAAATTAAAGTAGATTATGTTCAACTTGTGAGTTTACAATCCACAAAAATTTGGTTAGGATGATGGTTGTAAATTGGGAGGCAGAGCCACAGACTAATGAATAAAGTAGCTCTCAGAATTTATTATATACTTTCCTCTGTTTTCATTTCATCCCCTTGTTTAATTTTCTTGAATAGAAATATAGGCACTTGCCGAATGGGCCCCACCACAGAGTGAGTGAATGCAATACATACACACACACACTAGTGCTAGTACCGATATTGCCCAAAACAATCATAACATGATATGTGGGGAGAATATTCCAAATTGGAGCTGACAAACAAGCGAAAGAGAAGGTAAAGTAAAACGATACAAGGAATAGTTACAGTGGTGGTGGGAGAGAAAAGAAAAAGCTATACTAATATGGGGGAAGACGGAAGAAGAGGAGGGCAAAAGCTTCTACTAGAGAAACAACCAAAAGGAAAGAGGCCAAAAACACTGCAAATTAAAAAAAAAAATTGTAATATTAAAGGCTCTAAAACAAACGACACTTTTCACACACAGGAACAAAAAAACCAATCAATGCCTGACTGCAAGTGCAATTCTGCAACACAGAGTCTGCCATGTAGTCAAAATTCTCCTCCCAAGCTGCTAGCATATAAGATAACCAGATATAGCCACAGAATAGGGAAGGGCCGGATGCAAAGCAACTTAACAGATTCCAACACAGCCGAAATTATAGCCGGCTAAACAATTAGATTACCTTTGAGCACAGTTTGAAATGGATAATATAAATACTAATTAATTGCGATTGAAAAGCTGTACAAATTCGAACAACACAAAGACAGTACTACTCAAATTTTGCTTACTGGACCCCTCCCTACCGCTCTACCTATTCCCCCTTCAGTATCTAAAAGTTAACAACAAGGCCACGGTTAAAACCCTAATTACTGAAAGGACGATCACAGTAAAAATAATATTCCTCTGCTGCAAAGAAAGTTACCTCGAGCTAGCTACAGCTACCTCTCTCTCTCTCTCTCTAGCTACTCACCACTTCTCTCTCCAGAATCTTTCTTGGTTTCACCTTCTTCTTTTTTTCTTTTACGGGGTTAGGTGTTTCTTTTGTTTTCCTCATCATGGCTTCAAACGAACCCACTGGTACCGACCCTCCAAGGGCACATCCTTCACAACGTCAAAGTTGTACCTGCAAGAGAATTTGCCCCAAAAAGGTTTGTTAGTTAGTTAGGCTTCGATTTCGATACCCCTTCCCTCTAACGTACGCCCCCCTCTTATCCTACGCATCCACGAACCAAAATAAAAAAAAATCGTTTTTACTCGCAACTCAAAAGATATTTACTACTCTTACTTCTCTGCAAATCGTTTTTGCTTCTCGTTCTCCGCCGCCGTGAAGAAATCGTCGAGTTCTTCCTGACTCGGGGACTCCTTAGCCGACCCCTCTGACGCCGCCGTCGAGGTAGCCGGAGGAGGTGCGCTCTGGGAGGAGGCGGTGGTAATTGTCTTCGGCTTCTCCATCATTGTTGTTTCTGCCTTGGTTGACGAGTCAGCCATGTCTTTTTCTTCTGAGCTGTCTACGCTGAACTGACTGGAAGGAGAGGCTTCTCTGCTACAGGAGGAGGAAGAAGAAGAATAAGAAAAAATTTACAGAGATGTAACGAACTCCGTGTATAAATATAATTGACCGTTTGTATTCAAAAGAGAAAAACAGAAATTTTGGAGCTAAAATAGGAAAATTGATTAATGAATAAAAATAAATAGGAGAATAAATAAATAAAAAACGAACCAACGAACCTGAGTTTGTTGTTGATGCAAGTCGAGGAGCTTTCCGTTTCGTAGCTCTTGGCCTGCAGTAATGAAATATGGAATATTAATTATTTAAATTGGCTCGTAAATACGAGAGAGAGATGCTCCCTCTTTCTCCGACTGAAATCTCTTCGAATTTTGATCGGAAAAGGAGAAACGGAAACCCTTGCCAAGAGAGAAAAGAAAACAACTACCGTTTTGATCCGCTATTTCTACCTTCTGTTTGTTTCCTGAGAAAGAAGGGGGGAATTTTGAAATCCTAATAATTATTATACTAACTACTACGCCAGGACCGAGTTAATTACTACGACTGTAGTAGCTTTCAGTGATCTGAAATTTTTTGAAATTCGAATTTGCTATCTGAATTTCGCATTTATGTTAAGCTAAATTTTCTCAGGAAATAAACAGCAAGATACCTCTCGCGAAGTTCAATATTATCCAGAATTCTAGAAACTTTACGAACCTAGAAAGGAATCCATACTCTCAGAAGAAGAAAAGATCGCAAGATACGCGTATCAAGAATCGGAATCCACTGCTCCAATTTCCCCACTCTATTTTCCCCCCTCTCATGAAACAATCACAGTGCTCGCAATTCCGGAAAACAGAAGGAAAAAAAAAATATAGCTAGCAGATACAGCCAATTTCGGAAAACAGCCGCAATTCTAGATCGTCGATCGAGTTTCGAGTTCATACCTCTAGATCTGCTGGTCCGAATTCGCTCTCCTTCACATCTAGCTCACTCGACTCGGCATTGCTGAAGCAACAGACACCGGGAGCGTGGGAGTCGGCAGCGGCTGAGCAGAAATCGCCGTCGACGAGGAGACGGCCAGCTGCTGACGATGAATTCGACGTCGCCGGCACAGCCGCCTTGCCCTCAGCTGAGGAGCAGTAACGTCGGCGGATCTCGTCTGAATTCTTGGAGAGAGAGGAGCTCAATTTCAATTCCGCGAATTCCAGCTTATCATCGCCATCGGTCTTCTTCATCTTCTTGGAGAAGCTGATGACGGCCGCCGTTGAGGAATCCCAGGCATCTTCATCAAATCCTGCGTCCGATCGCTTGCAGTTCCTCGAAGAAGAATCCTCCATTTCTCTCTCTCTCTCTCTCTCTCTCTCTCTCTTTCTCTTTCTTGTAAAAACAACTTTTCGAGTTTTCCGATTCTATCTTTCCGGTTTGTTTTCTGCTTCTTATGGCTGGTTATGATTTCCGGGAGAGAGGAGAGAGAGAAAGGGACGTGGGAAAAGTAAAGAACTGCCCGGGATGGAAAGAGAGCCGCAGATTAAACCGACGGTTGAGATCTCACTGGGACCCTCGGAACTTATCCGTGTGGTCCTAACTATTCACTTAACGGTGTGATTAAAGAGCACAATTAACAGTGCCGTTATGATTACGAGACGGTTGGAAAGAAAGAAAAAAAAAAAAAAACGATGCTGTTAACGGTTGAAGAAACGTTACCTCTCCTTCCCAATTAATTATGACACACTGAAATTGGAAAAAATAGAGCCTCTCGGCTCTCTCAGGACTCAGTGAGTTGTTTGGCTTTCTGGTTACGTTTAGTGACATAATTAGACTCACTTGGCAATGGGCTTTATGTCGATTGATAGAGAGACTTTCCTTTTACAATTGGTGGTTGAGCAGGTTGGAAACTAAAGTTAGCAAAGTGCAATTTCTTGGCTGAAAGAAGGAATAGCTCTATAACAAACAAGGGTAATAATGTGCTTTGCAATCCCAACAAATTAAATTACTTGCAGGCAGGCTATCACCTTCAAAAATGGGAGCAAGATGTGACATGATAACAAAAAGATATGCATATCATTTCTCTTGGTGGCCAATCATATCTTTGCAGATTCATGGAAGATGCCTATAGGGCTCAAACCCACTTTAAGTTTGTGCAATTTATTAATTGAAGTTATTCACCTTTAGATAATAGGTGATATGACCTTAGAGAGGATGTGTTGCATAAGGTAATTTTCATGTGTTACCATCCGATAATTTACAAGGGGTTCTCTCAATGGCTTCATTGAGATTTTGAAGAATGGGTAAGTTATGGAATTTTAGGCAAAAAGATAACAACAGTTCTAGGCGAAGAAGTCATGGAGAGGTATGGGTTGATAGTTTCCGAGCTCTTCCCAGATGGGTGTGATATTGAGATAAAATTCGAGTTTTTTGTTTCAAATTGCATAATTGTTCTTGTAACTCAACAATTCTAACCAAATGAAATCACCTAGCTTGTATGTATTCCAAATGAGTGTTTTCCATGTCTCATGAGTTGTTTGAAGCTTTGAACATCTTTGCCAATCAATTCATCAACTGCTCGCAAGATCTAGCTCTTCACTATCGTGTTGCATTTAATCAAGATTCATTTTAGGTCATCTCTAGTAGGGCTGGCTATTTGGACCGGGACCGGATGAAAAACCGGAAACCGGATCGTATAACCCGGACCGAGACCGGACCGGGACCGGATAGTAAACAATCCAATCCAATCTTTGGGCTTAGATTTGAGGTAAAAAACCGGATAAAGACCGGATAAGAGAGCTCAACACCCAAAACTTAAGGGTAATTTGCATAAACAGTCACAAACCTTTGCACTTAGTACAAAACTTAACCAACTCCTCACCCTTTTAGGTCTTAGGCCACTCAAATTCCCACAATCTCAATATAAAATCAAGACCGAATTGGGACCGGACCGGATCAAGACCGGACTGTATCCAATCCAATCTTCGGTCCTTATATTTTCAAAAAAACCGGACTGGACCGGATCAATTTGGGCCAATTTAACCGGATCGGACCGTATAGCCACCCCTAATCTCTAGGTCATGATTAGTGTTGCATTTAATCCAGAGTCATTTTAGATCATCTCTAGGTCGTGATTATGGGAAACGTATATGCACTCTGGTCATTGTAATTGCTAGTTGTAAGTTTGAGAGAGATAAAAACTTGCTAAGGCGGCTCAGATTCATGAATATTGCATGGATCTAACAATGCACAGTTATACATACTACCTGATTTGCTACTGATAGTGTTTGTAACTTCTACCATGATTGGCCGTATTTAAGGAAGAAAATGAAAAACAAGTTAAAGAAAAAGAAAGAAAGGAGAAGAGTTTATGATTTCAAAAACCTAACCAAACTTCGTTACCATAAAAGTAAAAAATCTCTACATAAAATTGAAAAAGTGAAAGTGTTCTCTTCATTGTACCATTTCATTCATATATATCCCAATTCCCAAGTGGGCATATTACAAGAGAAAATAGCCAACTCGAGTGGGTGAAGAAGGTAAACAGTAAAATGTGAAACTGAATAATTAATCAAGGACATTGTCGATTGTTGGAGACACACGTGTGTATCAAGTGATCATTCAAGCTTCGAGCCATCCTCAGCTTATCCAGATTTGAGACTGGGTGATGTAGAAAAAACTGTGGTTTATTTGCTTTGTATCGTTATTAGGGAGTTGCACTTTTGTTTATGTTGTTATTAATTGTTGGGTTTTTTAGTGGTGTGAATGGAAATGAAAGGGAAAGTTCCAAGAGAGTCTCTTGAAGTACCATGTTGGTAAGATGTGGGAAGGCATGGCCTTGAATTTGATCGATTTGATATAATCTGTGGTTAATCGGTTAAATTGGTTTGCGTACCAAACAGACCAAACCATACCGAGTTGAACCCAATTGAACCGAACTGATATGGCGGTTGGAATAACCAAATCGGCCCAACTCCCATAGGCTGAACCAATGCAATGGTTCATTATTTTGAAAACGAAACAATGTGTTGGTTGGGGTGTAAATGGAAGTGAACAGATACGATGCTTTAAGATCGAACTCATTATTCATATTATGAGAAGAGTTAAAAAAAAAACAAATATATTCGAATTTGAAGAATTCACAATGTATTAAAGGAAGCCCTTCGTGGACTAAAATGTGGTTTGATAGTTGTAAACTATCCAGAGGGAAAATATAAACAATCATAGGTGTGCAAATCCTATGGTGCGAGGCAAGTGGGGACTTGTGTATCAAGTCTATTTAAGCCGGAATGGTTGTAAACGTTATGTTCAAAGTAAGTTGAACATAGTATGAATGAGTAAATACCTCCAATCGGGTGGAGATGTAATTTGGTTAATGCATGGCTAAAGAATTGCATTGAAAAAGGCACAAGCGATAAGAAATTATAATTTGTACAATACTTGTGGAGGTATGATATTTATCATGTATATGGTTTAGAACTTGATGTATCCTATGCCTTGGGGGCAAGGAAAATGAAGCTATGATCGATCCTTATATGGATTTAATAAGCTTGTCAAATGATGGCCGTCATCAAGATAAGCATTAGGTCGAAATTGTTTATGGTATAATTATACTATACCATTGGAAAACAATTTGACTTACGATTATTGTGTGTAGCTATGTGTCAGAATTGTTTATGGTATATATAGATATATACAATTGGAAAATAATTTGGCATGAGACCTCAATTGAGGTGCTCATATATAGACATATACCTTCGTAAGCACCCCTTCATTTTCTATAAATAGCACCTAACCCCTCTGGTTTTTAACAGAGATTTTTCCAGTACCAAAATTATGCCAAAAACCAAAACTAGTTTTCTGCATTCTTTTCTAAGAGAAAATCGAGTCAAGTGTGGTTCTCGCCGGTTCGCTGCGTTCGATGGGTTCCGGAGTTTGAGGTACCGCTACGCCGAAAAAGGTACGTCCTTTCTATCTTGGGAGGAATCATTCCATAGCTTGGGTACTAGAGGGGAATAAGATTCTTTAAGGATATATAGTTAATTCTATCGGCTAGGACGCTTGCATATGTTTTTGCATGTTTTCTTAATCTTATGTATTTACTTGTGTTGCAAGAAAAATAGTATACATGTACAATTTCCACAACAGTTATAATGAAATGTTATTGATCTTAGTAAGAGATAGGTACACATAGCTCTTTTTACCATTGTTGTTTATTAGTGCATTGCAAATTGTCATTGCTAGCCAACGATTACTATTGTCGTTTGACACTGCCACTAGGCAATTGCAACATTAGATTGTTTTCTTGTGTACATATTTATGTTTCTAGCAATGGTTTTTAGTATAGATTTTGGGGTTCTTTTACATTAATTTGTAATTTTTGTATATGGATCACTTGAATATGTTATGAGTTCTTTTGTAAGAGGGGTCTACGGAATGGGGATTTTTGTGTGTGCGCGCGTCAACTTGCTAGTTTTTGGAACGAATTCACAACTCACAACTTTGTGGTATGAATTTGATATGTTTATTACATACTTGCAATATACATGGTTTCAGATATTTATTATATATCGATAATGAGAGTTTGGTCTGGTACCATCATTAATTTTCACTTTGAAGATCTCGGATCGATTTATAGGAGGCACCCCTTCCTTGTAGATCTCCTTGACTGGTATGGCAAAAATAAAAGATATAAATTGGATTCATATATTTTTAATATGTACTTCTCCTAATTTACAAGTGTCCACCCCCATTCAACACCTATCGATTAAAATTTTGTTGAGTAGTTTCACGAGATCAATATAGGCCACTATTTCTCATTACTTACGGGATGCATGAGCTGACTAACCCACCTACAGGCGTAGTCCCTCTTCTTCAGAACAATGTGATGGGTATTATCTTTGAGCGCCGGGTTGTGGCGAGCTCATCCTCCCTATAGCTAATCTGACTCTGTAATCTTTCTGCTTCTTGACCTAGACTTCCTTTCTATGAAAAAAATAAAACATAAAAAAAATAAATATAGGCCACTATGTCTCAATGGTTAGAATAGTTTGATTTAATTTGGTTGATTGACATTGATAGCATTTGGGGTGGGGGGCAAAAAAAACTTTTGTAAAAGAAATTGGACACTTTTCGATCAATTAGAAAGTGAATTTTGCATGTGAGGATGGTTAAAATGTTGTTGTCTAAAATCCCGGGAAAGCATGTCGACCTATCATCTTTTTCATATGTATACATGCGTTGGTGATTTTTAAGGTAATAATGAGATGAGATGCTCGAATCTTTCAACGTCATCAAAGTAATTAGTAGATATGGTTAACGGGAAAAGGGTTAACAACTATTCCTTTGCCCTAAGAATGTTAGAGGGAGTGTTTGCTAATAAACTCAAAGCAGAGGGATTAAATGGACCGTTTGCCCTAAGAATGTAATTAGTGGGCACAGTTGATTGCTTTTGGAA